ACACATATAAAGCCTTTAGTATACCCTAAGCACTCAATAAATGTTTACAATTATGACCCCTAACTTTTTACTCATGGGGACTGATGCAATTCCTTTTGAGCTCAAGACTGTTTGGGTCATTTCCTGTCACATGTGACCAAAACCTGAGACTGGAGCCTCCACACATACCCCTTCAGTGACCCCAGCCAGGGAATTCCTCACCGAGTCCTCAGGGCCGGACCTCTCGTCTCCAGAAGCATCCTGCTCAAAGACCTGGCGGGGGAGGCCCTTCTGTCGCTCTCGCTGTGTCTCCGTGGTGACGGGGCTGTATGCTGCACTCAGGTACTGATACCTAGCAGGAAACGGGGCTGGGCAGGTAGGGAGGGCTGAGGGCCCCCAGGGGCTCCCCAGTGTGTTCCGACACACCTACTCGGCCCCTACGAAGCCACCCTCCTCGTGCTCCACCTGACAAGTTTGCCTGCTCTTGCAGGGACAATGGGCAGATACACAGTAGGACCGGCTGCAGACATCAGCTCAGCCCTTTTGGGTTCCGAACCCCCTGAGCTGCCCCCAAGTCAGACTCACCTTCTGTGGACGATGACCCAGTCCTCGATATACATCTCCACTGCGGCCCTCACCTGAGCATCCAGTTTTCTGCAGTAAAAGAAGATCAGGGTAAACAGAGGCAGGGTCTCTGCGAATCCTTCTGCTAGCCTGTAAGGTTAGCACTGTCCTGCCTATTCCAGACAAGGAGAGACAGAGGCTCAGAGAAAAAGCATGGCTTGTCCAAGGTCACGGCCCAGCCAGGAGCTGAACTCGGGCGGTTGATGTGGATGGCAGAGACAGAGCGGAATCACAGGCCGAGAGGGTGTGGGGCTACCCACTCATCCTTGGGGATCCCGGGCTCTGTGGTCCGGCATTCCCGGGGCTGCAGCAGCAGCTCCAAGTCGTCAGCTGGGAATTCGACCAGGTCCCTGAGGGGCCCGGGCTCAGCGTCTGGTGGCCGGCTCAGAAGTACATCCTCAAAGTCCAGGGGCTCGACAACTTCAGTCAGTGGGACCTGGATTGGAGCAAAGTGGCTGTGATCGCACTGCCCAGGAGGCTGAGAGTGGAGGCGTGAGGCAGGGGTGGGTGCGTGCTGGCTTCAAACTCAAATAGGAGGGCGGTGGGAGCCATGGAGGGTGTTGGAGCTACGGAGGAGCCATGGAGGAGGGTGACCTCAGACTCTCCACCCCCACCTCAGCTTTCCCTGCCCTGCCCCTCCCTCCAGGGGCTCCAGGAAGGAAATCACACCCCATGCCTGGAAGGGCAGAAACTAACAGTGGAAGGAAAGAAATGTTGACAGAGGCCAGGCAAGACACAATTCCTAAATCCCTCCCAACCCTCTGGGCAACATGGATGGCCCCACCTCTCTTAGGCAAAAGCCACTCCCCTCCCCAACTTCCCTCCTCCATCCCCATCTGGGTGGTCCAGGTGGCTGGAGGTGGGGGACATCAGCGGGGAGCCACTCCCCCTGGACCACCCACAGGGTGACAAGCAGCTGCAGGGAGAGTGGCCACAGGAATTGGTGACAGTACGAGGACCAGGGCAGGGACTCCCTCCCCTCACACTGCTGGGTCTCTCTTGGTTTCCCCATAGGACAGGCCACAGGAGGGAGGGGATGGGATAGAACCTAGGCCAAGGAAGCCCCTACCTCTGTCTGAGAGAAGGCAGGGGGCTGAAGGTGGACCCCCCAAATACTTACCCCCAGGGAGCTGCTGCAGCGCCTGCTGGAGCTGGGGGAGCCACTGCGTTCCCGGGACACCTGCTTCCGCACCTCTGCGGCCACCGTCCTGCAAAGACAGAGAGGGGGCCACTGGGGACAGGAAAACTCAGGCAGTGGGGCCGACAGATTCCTGCTAGGAGGAAAATTCAACTTGTGGAAAGGAATAAATAGGCCAAGGGCCAAGAGAACCAGGAGTGCTGAGGCTTTAAGAGCCCCCAGCTCCCAGTTCCCCCAACCTCTTCCCCATCAAGCACAGATCAGGAGAGGGGAATGCTGCCACCAGTGGGGTTTAAAGCCATCACGGACTCTCCTTCCCCTCCCAGCTGGGCCTGTGGCCTTCCAGGTCTGGAGGGAGGCCCACGGGTCCCTGGCCTCTGTTCCCTCATCTGGGGGACCTCTGTCCACACTGCTGTTCCTCAACACACCCAGCTCTGCCCCGGGACCCCATCCAGAACATACATCCCTTCCCATCCTTGCTTTGGGGCCTGGATAAGTCATTTCCACCTCTGAGCCTCAGTTTACCCATCTGTAGCTGATGCCCTGACTTCACAGGGCTACTGGGGAGGGCGGAGCCTGGGGCCTGGCCTGAAGTCACAGAGATCTTGAGATGAGGCCATTGTGTCAGAGGTCAACCTGGCCTGGGGGGCCCAGAACTCGGAGGCCTTTTAAGTAACCCCATGCAACCAAGGTGGGCCCTGGGGCCTTCCTGGGCCACCTGGATCTGAGCAGGCCTTCAAAATCAGGGAGGATGGCTGGGTGTGGTGGTTCACACCTGTAATCCCAGCACTTTGAGAGGCTGAGGCGGG